AGACAGACAGACAGACAGACAGACAGACAGACAGACAGACAGACAGACAGACAGACAGACAGACATCTAAGGCACTGGTGTTAACTAAAGTGTATTGTGTTTAAAAGAGCAGTCAGATATAACCTGAGGGTTTTGATCTTACAACATGTGCAGGTGTATGAAGACGCTTGAGCGTGCTATTGATAGTAACAAAACCCCCTTGCAGTTCATGTCTGCATGAATTTTTTTCATCGACCATGATTCCCTTTGTTTTAAAATGCGAGTCTGCTTATTTATTGACACAATTTCCTTCCAGTGAAGGGCTCGTGTCTATAAAACACATTAGAATCATATTGCAATCTTTGCTTACCCAGGAGCAGCGTCATTGTTCTATTATTCTCAGGGAACAACAGCACCGCAGCCTGTTATCAATCCAATATCTCATAATGTGCTCTGTGTTCGGTCATTTTGAATATAAAAAGATCTTTTGCTCTTATTGTACCATATTTCCTATATTTAGTATCAATCTCTTGTACCGACATGAATCTGACACATCCAATATGATATTTGATTTAGTTATTTTTTGGTTATTTATTTTTTTGGTCTCTAGGTGATATTGGATGCATGTGCCAAAGCCAGTACGATGTTGGCTGTTTCATCCGAGTATAAAAATGATTTAGTGTGTACTCAGCACGCAGTGTCATTGACTAGCTTTAATTTCACTGCAAGGGTGGGCTTTATTACTCTGCTACTCTCCAAATGTGCGAGTGTGTGTGTGAGAGAGAGAAAAATGGAATGAGATTGAATGATTCTGTGCATATATCTGTCTTTTATAATGCTCAGTGTGGTAGTGGTGTACACCACCTGTGCACACACACACTAAGTCGTTTTGTTCACAAAATATAACCAGGAACTCATTGAAGTTATGAGGACACAAACATAGTGGACATTAACTACTAGCACAGTTATAGTTTGAAAAACATACTAAATAAAAGGTCAGTGTAAATGAATTTGATCCTATGTGATCTGTGTGATCATTTGAGTAATTGTCTACAAATGTGCATGTTTTTTAACCAACCAGACTTAATCCTCGGTTTTTACTTCAAAGTGCTTTGTTAGTCTCCACTGTCAAACATTTTATGATTAAGACTGTCTCAACCTTAAAAAAATATAGAAACTTGTCTCACATTATTATTATTTTTTCTTTTTTTTTCATTAAATCATGTACTAAACTTAATTCCTCTGTTCAGTTTGTTATTTTAGACTGTTCATCTTCATCCCTTTCTTCAAAAGGGATGAAGATGAACAAATTTACAAATTAAAGTTCTGTAAAATATTTTGGACTTTTTCCTGTGTAACCTAGATATACTTGTGTTTTACTAAAAGCATTTCTAATATTCTCAATGACCATCAACTTAAATTTGATGTAATACACAATTTCATTGAAATTTAAACAGGTTTTTCTTTATTTTATTTTGCCTTTCATTTTAATATACTGGAAATATGAATTTGCATTTTATTTTAAATTACAATTGTGTCAAAAAACTTTTGTGTTATTCTTTATTTCACTTCATTGTTCACTGATTTTAGACATTTCATTAAGACATTTTAGCAAAACTTTATTCAGTTTTATTTGTAATAAGCAATGTGACATTTCCACCCAGTGTGGATGATAAATCATTAACGTTGTAGTTTTTGTTGTAGGTGAGCTAATCTCCTCATCTTAATTTCAAAAAGTTTATACCAGCAGATTAAATAATAAAGTCATTGGTGTCAGAAGCATTTATAATGTGGAGGTGACACTGGTGGGGGGGTCTGGGGGTCCGCCCCAAAAAATGTTGACTAAAGTAGATGCCATTTCCTGCATTCTGGTGTATTTGAACAGGTTGTTAAACATCTACGTTCACCTGCAGATGTAAACACTTAATTCAATAACTAATTTAAAGAGCACGGCACAACATGTTTTAATTTTAGTTTAGTGATTACAAGGTCAAGGTTTCTTTATTGTCATACGCACCACATGTGGTACATGTGGTGGAACGAAACTGTGTACTCAGGGTCCCAGTTACATCCAACGAAAGTATACATTGTAAAGAAAAACATTAAAACAGTAATAAGATCTAAGATATGAACTAAGAAATACGCTAAACTAAGAATACACTAAGCACTAAGTACAAAAACTATATGCCGAACAGCAGCCTGAACATGAGTCTGTGTGAGCAGATGAGCATGAATGAACACATCAACATGAAACAGATCAGCAGCAACATGAAACAGATCAGCAGCAACATGATGTGATTTTTCACAGTGATTATTCTGGTTAGAGATTCATGAGTCTAACAGCCTCAGGGTAGAAGCTGTTCCTCAGTCTAGTTGTTCTACACTTAATGCTCCTCAACCTCCTGCCTGAGGGGAGCAGGGCAAAAAGTGTGTGTGCTGGGTGAGTGTGGTCCTTCATGATGCCGGCGGCCCTCTTCCTGCATCTGGAGGTGTAGATGTCTGTGATGGTGGGGAGGCTGACTCCAACAGACTTCTGTGCAGCCTTCACCACTCTCTGCAGAGTTTTTCTTGCAACAATGTGATGGAAGTTTTTGTGTTGCTTTTACCAAACGTGGAGTGAAACTAGTTGAGTTTTTGAAGAAGAAATGTCCATTTTTGACCGTTAAAGAACATTTGTTAAGGTTCCAACGACTGCATGAGCTTGAATCTTATAAATGTGAACCCTGTGAGTGAGACAAAGTGATTTTATGAAAGAAAACCTGTGTCACTGTTAAAATACTAGACTTGTTCAATCTTTGGCTATGAAAATGGCATTTCTATGGTAAATTGCAATGTGGAAATACTATATATATTTTTTTGAATATAACAAATATATATAATATAAAAAATAAACAAGTAAATAAATAAAAAAATGGATGGAAAAAAGATGAAAAATGATGTTTTGAACCACTTTGGCCATGACTGCCTCAAACAAGTCGACGGGGGAGAGGGCGGACTTCAGAAACCATCTGAGCACCATCAAACTGGTTGATCCACTATGTGAAGGTGCTGTTAATAAGACTGAGTTCCTTGTGGCTCCTCGGACTGATGAAGTCTTTTGGATGAAACCTGCCAGAGGACCTTACTTAACTTGGTTGAACCAAATATCCAAATATAATAAATAAATATGAGTCCTTCTCTGTCATGGTGTACTGTATGTGCACATTTTATTTGCAAGCCTGCAGTTTTTTCAGCCTCTTCAGCATGTAATTATCATTAAGTAGAGGAATCAATTACAGCAACACTCGGGAAGGCTCTCACATCATACACAGGCCACACTGATCATCCCAGTTCAAGAAACCGAGGAGCTCCATTCTGCCTTGACAAACCTGACTTCTGATCAAATGCTACAGAACCATAATCATGTTTGTGCCACTGAATTCTTTAACCTTTGTGTGACCCCGCTGAATGCCAGCGGCCCAATCACAGAACCTAATTGAATCTGCTCGGCGGCGCCCACTCAACTGATGAAAAAATAAAATTGGAGGTGAAAAATGAATACAACGGTAGAGAGAAGGATAGAGAGGGAGAGGGAAGGAGGGAGGTGATGCTGGTGGTGGGGGTCGCAGTGCAGCTTGATAAATACACAGACATACTCACAAACACACAACCAGACATGTACACACAATCACACCTTTTTTTTTATTTTGTATTTTCAATCCGGCAGCAGAATGGGGAGTGGGAAATGACAGAGAGTGAGGAGGAAGGAGGTTGGGCCCAGGTTTCTCATTACCCCCCTAGCCCATTTCGAGGATATTCCTATAAGATAATCTGATTTATTTGCAATTTTCCTTTAAGCGGCTTGGTGTTTACCTCCAAGATTAATATTTTTCTCTGTTATTAATATTAGACTGTAATTAGGAGTGATCCTTCTCGCTTTCCAGTGGTCTATGGCTGGCAGGATGCACGCTAGAGGAAACTCTTTTTACAGCTCCCATGTTGTGATCCTGTTTCACGAGAAAGAAAATAAAAATTTAAAGCACAAACAGAAATTAAGACACTTTATAAGTGGGAAAGAGGCTGAAGGGTAAGGATGTTGAACTACAGCATACTGTATACCTGCCATTATGTCCAAGAGTGTGTGCAGGTTGCTGTGTTTGCAGCAACCTGTGTGTGTGTGTGGTTGATGTGAGTGTATGTGTGACAGTGTGATGGTCCCCTCTGATTGATAAGGTGTCTGTGCCGGCTGCAGATTGCTCTTGCTGATTGCTTCTGAGAGCTCCAGCTGATTTATAATCAGAGCAGGATGAAGGATTGGACTGAGGATTGCTTATCTGTTTACCCCTCCCCCCCCCCCCCCCCCCCCCACTGCCGCCACAACAT